CACAATCTCTTAGTATCTCCTTGAGCAGGCTCTCAATAGGCAGGCCAACACAACATATGACAGTGACAGGAACCCTAGAAAGGCCTAAATTAGACAGATAGAACAGAAACCAGCCACGGCAGAGCCCTCGGGGCACACGAGCAATTACCTAACATAGCCGGCTGAGACCTCTGAAAAGGAGCAGAGCTATAGAAGAATAATCCTGTCCTCCCATGCCATGGCCCACAGACAACAAGCAGCACTTTCAGATCAACAACCTCAAATCTTACTGCTCATCTCAGCAGTTCCTTTAAAATTAAGCTCTTGTTTACTGACTAAAGAAATAGATTAGGTAGACATATTTAAAAAAAAAAAAAAAAGACTTGTAAGCCAGGATTTTGTTCAACTCCAATGTCTACATTAGATTCCCTCTCTCAGCCATACACACATGCTCTCAATCCAATATAATTCACACCCCCTGGAGAGAATGGGTGCTGTATAACTTGGGTATGTCTATTATAGCCAACATGCAAAGTATTAGAAACCTGGGATATTTCTGATAGTTCTGTGAAGTACATGAAGAATTCAGAATGTGAGTTAAATACCAGCAATTCTTCCAGCTCAGAGAAATTGTCCACAAAGGAAATAAGGTATTATTGCATATTTCAAACAAAATACATTTCAGAAAGGCACACCATTTTATGGATGGGATGCCCTTGAATATTTTTATGTCCATTATAATACATGTAACTTACTTCAGCTGGCAAATTTAAAGTTTGAAGAGAGAGAGACAGAGAATTTTAGGTGAAAAACTACATTATAATTCAATGGTAAAATTATTCTTTTGCCATTACTCAGGGTTGACAGTACTGAATCATAGGCAAGAGGTCAATTTAAAGAATTTTGTTTGTCAGCAAAACAGATTTATTCTGAATTTATGAATTTATAATAAGCCTCCGTCTCAAAATGATTAATAGCAATTAACCTTTTAAAGCTTAGTCGTCTACCTGAGCAGTCCCTGTCTGTTAGTTACCATGATTAAGTCTGAATATTTATTTCAATAAAGATTTCCTAGCCATGTCTTAACTGCTCTCAGTGAAAGTGGCAATAATTAGTCTCTGGAAATATTTAAATATAAATTATTATACAGTCAAGTTTGACAGATGTAAGAACAGACCAAAAAATGGCAACTTTCTACAGAATGGAAGGAACAGGATCAATTATGGCACTGTAACATCCAAGACTTAAGGAAAAAAAGAGGCCCTGTTAAAAAGAACCTCAGGGACTTGCAAGAAAACAAATACAGTGGAATATTTCTGGTTTTTTGGTTTCTAAATAGGAACAGCAGACGGGAAATTATGGGAGTACAATACATGGCGCACAATGGGCAAACTTACCCTAATTTGGAGACTTGGAAAGCACTGAGAGTTTTGACATCTACTGAGGGTTAGGAGTGGGGCTTAAGCACTTGGATCTCACAGAGGAGCTGCCTCCCAAAATTTGTGGTTGATCCAAAGGGAAAAGTAAGTTTTTGTAGCCTTTCAAGCTTGCTGATGAGCATTTAACTGCTGCTTGTCTGAAGCTAGTCATCTCACTTGGAAATGTGGAGTTGAAGGATTGCATATAAGGTGATATGGATAGGATCAGTAGGAATCTATTCAACTTTTACGTGGGAGAAGAGGCCAGGAAAATATATGCCCCCCCATCCCAGTCCTGCCCCATCCTCAGTTATAGAGCCTGATCTCAACTGGACTCAAATAGGTGGGACTGAAGGAAAAGAAGAGTGTTCTTTCAGGCCATCATTCCCCATTTTTGCCTCTACCAGTTCTCCTGCTTTTCTTATCTTTCTATTCACATATACCCTAAGAAAAACTCAGTCCTGAGTTAGAATGAGATGAAAAAGCCCTGCAATTCAGAATTAGTCAGTCAGTGGTTAAATCATTCAGCCTTGGATATTTGATGCTTAGCACTGGCCATGATAACACTGTGGTTAATGCAACTACTAGGAAGATCATGGAACTCCTTCACTTCCTAAAGTATTTAGTTTATATAACAGGATGCATCTCCATATTTTCCTTATACCTCCATACAATGCCATTTGGTTTAGCGGGAGGTCTAAATAATGTGTTTCGCAGTTGTCCTCTCCTTTCTGTAGAATTACAGATACTATTTCCTGGCATCTGAGAGCAAGCATGCATTCCAGTGGAAAACAGGGGTGTACTTTAGCAGTGAAACAAGAGATGCTGTTTTTGATAGAATAAACCACAATAACATGTTTTTAGTGCTACACCATGTTTTCTCTCATCCTTGATATAGTAGAGTTCCTGGAGAACAATCTGACCTCTGCACTTTGCTTTTCAGGATATATTTTTTCAAATGTTCATTGTAAAAGAGATGAAACCAAAAGAGGTCATGTTTAGAAAAGTTCTTTTCAAATAAAGCACTTTTATATTTTTACAGAGGTAACTCCCACTTCTGAGTTACTACTCAGACACAACAATAGGAACATGTACTCGGGACCTTCCAAGATCTAAAACTTTGCTGATACTTTTGATAGAAGCAATTATTTATTATGACTGTACAGTGGTGGTCATGAACTCTTCTTCTGTACAACTCTCACACACTAAACTCCAACTGAGAATTAATAAGAATGTATGCCCAGAACTCAAGAACTAAAGTCTGATATCGTTAGCCATAAAGGGTAGCATATAACACAGGCAATAGGACTGCTACCCCCATCAGACTAAGACTTCATGGGAAAAAAACAATGCCACATGATATTATCAATATTTTATATCAGAAGGAACTCATGTGTATGGGCTTTGCCATTTTTATGATGTAGTTGCTATTTAAAAATACATTTATAATCTAGAAATGGGATATTTTATGTAAGTTTTGTTGACTAGAGGATCACATTTGGCTAGCAATTTATACAAAATACCACATTTCTCTATTGCAAATGCATTAAAATCAACTGAATGTTAACGAAGAGAGATGAAAAGACCCATAAAAATCATAGTTTCTGCATATATAAAGGTTGATAATATATTATAGGCTCCTAGTTTTTAAAGTTTTGAAATTTGGAGCTGTTCTCAAGATATTCTCATGTCTGAGGAATCTGTCAGCAATCTTTCCGACTTGTCATGTTTTAATTGCACCCATTTTAAAGCCACTTCTTGTTATATGGGGGATGAATAGGAAATGGACAAGTGTGGTCACTCTTAATCATATTTTGTTGCTTGAGAGACCTTGCCTGCATGGAAAGCATTGCTAAATAGCCTCCACTGTCCAGTATGGATACATCCCCAAAACCACTAGAAAAGATAGACAACAGCATGTGTTGCGTAACTATGATTACGACCGCTACCTTAAAAATCGAGGCATACTTTGTTTAATCTAAAATTCAGTTTAGAGTATCAGAGTCAAATTTCAGAGTATTTTCTGGGTTGGGCAAAAAAATTAATTAAAGAAGACAGCAAGAGCAGGAAGGGTACATTTTCTGAAAACGTTTTCAATAAAGAGAATGGTGGGATCATGATCCACTCCCTGCTCTTGGGGAGTGTTAAATAGTAGGTTAGATATTTTAACAAAGGTTGCTTTAATGAGACAATACTTTAGTTCTTGCTGCTGCTAAGGTCATTTATGTTTCAAGTGTCAGAGGCAAGCACTGTAATGAAACAAGCGCTTGTGATTTCTTCTCTGACAAGACTCCTTACTGCTAATGAAGAAGCTCTATGACTTACATATTTTTTCTTTCATTATTGTCCTCGAGCACAAAGTGATCAAGGAATCTACTGATGTTTGTCTAATATTTTTTGAAAGCATAGAAAAAAGAACTGGCAGTTTTTAAACTACATCCTGGCCCCAGGATTTTATCCTTTTTTCTTTGCCCTTCCTACTCAGGTTTAATTCAGGGTTTGGCCATTTCAGTGTTCTGCTCAGCACCCCCTTTTTTCCATTGACCGTGTCTCATGTAAAAAGGGAGTGCTTGCAGACTTGGGACTGCAATTTTACTGGTTGCTTCTGGAGCTTCAATGCCTGCCATGGTGCTGGGTGTGATAATGGGACCTTTAGAAAAAAGTGGGCACAGGGAACTCACATCCACATTTGCCAACCAACCCTTAATTTGGGGTTTGGCCATTTCAGTGTTCTGCTCAGCACCCCTTTTTTTCCTGCTGAGTGCCTCTCAGTAAAAAGGAGGTGCTTGGAGACTTGGGAAAAATGGGATGGTTTCTCTGGCCATCTGACAACCCACATGTTCACAGGAGGGGCATTTACAGAAACCTCATCTGTGGAGGTTAGGAATTGTAATGTAAAGAGCATGACTGTTATAATGCTGATGATCCTATGCAAAAGCCTTAGGTAGTTAACCCCCTTACTGCAAGCAAGTGTTGATCTGAGGAAACAATTGTTCTCTGCATAATAAGATGGCTTTGCTGACTCCTGATGGAATCAGGAGGAGAGCCAGATGATCTTGGATGCCCTGCAGATGTCCAACCAGAGAATGGAGGCACTTGATAATGAAGTTGTTCAGGTACTGAAGGCAATGTATGCTACGATAACCTTCTACAAAGGCACCAACACAGGGAAGTAGCTTCACATGCTTTGTTATACTGGGAACTGTTTTGACTGTTGGAGTTGTTGAACGGAGAGGTAGCCATGGGTATTGAGACTGACAGGGTTCTGTGGATGAACTTACAGAGCAATGATCACAAGGTCTGGACTAGCGGGAACGCATCGTACTCTCGACTTGGAATGATAAGCAGTGGCTGGAGACCTTCTGCGTGAGCAGGGACACATTCTTCCACAGTCTCAATAGTGTCGCTCTGCACATTGAGTGGCAGGAGACTGTCATGCATCGCCCCATTGCACCAGAAAAGAGGGAGGCCGTGGCCATCATGAAACTGGCTAGGCCCACCAGCCTCTGCTTCAGTGGGAACCAGTTCAACGTGGCTCCCTGCATGGCCGGGATGGCAGTACGTGAAGTATGTCAGGTGCTGCTGGACATTGAGGTGAACAAGTCATCTGCCTCCATAACGCCAGGGAAGTTGTTGAAGGCTTCAAGGCCGTGGGGTTCCATAAGTGCATGGGTGCATTGGACAGCATGCACATCCCAGTCCTATCCCCACTCCAAGAGAGCCAGTCATTTGCAACAGGAAGGGATGGCCTCAGTGATCCTTCAGGCCATAGGTGGTGACCAAGGAAGCTTCACTACCATCTATACAGGCTGGGCTGGCAATGCTCATGATGCACATGTCTTTTGAAACCCGCTGCTGCCTGGCACGATGGAGAAAAAACAATATGCACGAGGGGTCCCTGATGTAGTGATCCAGGGTGTTTCCATGTCCCCATTTATCATGGCAGACACAGATTACCTCCTCTTGCTTTGGCTCAGGAAGCCATATGGAGGACAAGCGGCTGCCTGGCAGAAGTCCACATTCAACTACCACCTCAGCAAATGCCATATTACTGTTGAATGTGCCTTTGACCATCTGAAAGCATGGTGGAGGTCACCGAACTACTGAACTACAGTCTCAAGGTGGAGACAGAAAACATCACAGCTTTCATTGTGGCAGCCTGCATGCTCCACAATATTTGTGAGATCAGGGTGGGGATTTTCAGTGACTCATGGCCTGAGGAACTGCAGGGCAGTGTGGGAGGCAGCAGCCAGATGCCGATGTGGGCAGGCAGAGCACAGTGCCCCCTTACATCAGCAAGCAAACAGTGGATGGGGAGCTGTCATGCAGAATTGCCTGGCCACACACGTCTCGGCTGGGACTGCCCCCCCACACCCTTCCCACTGCAAACTCACTCCCAACAGCTGAATATCAGTGCCCTGTTTGAGTGAAATAAAAAAAAAAGCAAGCAGATTTACACACTAAATATATTTTACTTACAGTTTACTTCATAGTAAAATGAAAAATAAGGTAAGAATACAAATAAAGGTAGGAATGAAGACAGGAATGAAAAGAATAAAAATTAAAAAATCTTTAAAATATAGGTAAAAAAAGGAAAAAGTATGTGTAAAAATAATAAAATTAGTGAAAGTAATGAAATGACACTTAATTAAATTATATACATTAATGAAACAGCACCACTTTTGGTGGTCTGCACATATCAGCATGCTGTAAGCCATAGGTATCCCCTGCTGTAATTTAGTACTAAGAGATCAGCCAGGTGGATTGTTATGTGGAGCCTCCTGCAGTAATTTACTGTGAAAAGCACAGTGAGTAATTTATGCGATTTATGAATGCTCATGTGTACACAGTGACGGAAAAAATTAAAACCCACCATTTCAATTTAGGGGGCATAGAATGAAACCCTGAGGAATAAACTCCCGTCATGTGTACAAGTGCCCTCATAGGACATTTGCATCAAAAAAGCATTGCTTGGGAATTTGCTGAGTTCCCAGAATTTCAATTACAATCTTCTGAATGTTTCCTGACTCAGAAGTGGGAAAGGCTGAACATAGCATTAGACCTTATAATAAAGTCCATGCTGCCATAGGTTTATGTAGCAATAAAGACCAATGCAACTTGTGTTTTCTCCTCAAAAGATGCTTTGCAGTAAATCACGCTGAGAACCAGAAGCACTGTCAAAAATGTTATTTTAGCAGAACTTGAAGTTGGCCAGACGTGTTGGCTTTCAGACTGTTTTTGACTTGCAGCACAGAAGATCCATACAAGCCACATGACGCTGTTAGAGGAGATTTCTATTATCCAAGTTAGTGTTTCAATGCTTTTGTGACAGAAACTACAAATATACCCCAAAGAAAAAAATACTATTTTTTTCCTTATCCCATAGCTGGGGAGGAGGGGGGGAAGAATTTGAATGCAACGAGATTAGAAAGATTTCTCCCTTTTCTTTTACTTTCTATAGGTCTGTGTGACAAAGGATCATAACTGCCTACCATTTATAAGTACTGTTGCTTTATCATATTTCCTGTGCATAATACAGAGTCCAGTTGTGTTACATGATATAAGGGGTTTTCACAGTTCAGCATGTGCAGGAATTTCCAGGGCAAGAGTCTCTGTGTGAAATCCTGAGGCTGGCATTGAAGCCTTTGAATCTGAACACTTGCAAAATGAGCCATGTTTTGAGAGGTGCTGAGCACCTGCACATCACAGAGGCTTACATGGGAGCTGAAGGCTTTCAGCAGTGCTCAGAATTTGACCAAGCAGGAATTGCGGCACTAACCTCAAGACAGATTTTTTTTCCCCTGCCTAACATATTATTTTAAAGTTACAGCTTGTATAGTATCTATTTTGGTATTTAGTGATTTTCCAGGCATGCTGCAAAAGACATCTGCTCAATAGGGGTTCTAGAGAACACAGAGGGTAGGCTTCCTGGATGATGAAAAGGGTAGGTGGTGGATGGCTGGGTGGCCAAGTTCCCGTGCAACTGATTTCAGTTCTGCTGAGGTTTTTTTTAACTGTAATTATTATGATTACTATAGGGAAGGGCATCTAGGGCCTTGGTTAGGAATATATATATATA